TATTTTGATGCTAAGGCTGCAATACAGTTATTATATCATAAGTGCCTTTGGCGTATATAAGTGTCTCACTCAGCCAAAGCGTTAATTACCCCGGACGTTTATGTACGTCTCTATGAAGTGCGATCTTTTCTGTGCACTGTTATCCATAAAACTATTCCGAAGGCTTTGGAATGCAATAAAAGGACCTTGAGACAGTGTGCGTGTTTACGAAGGATTTACTTATATATTTCACAAGTTTTGCTTATTTATTCCTTTTATCTCCCTGCCCAATACGTCACATACAACGGGGGCATTGGGGAGCGAATTGCGTAACTTTAATCGATAGTTATAAGGGATTAATTATAAACCCTATAAGTTATCAAGATAATTGTTACTATTTGTATATAATTGTGTATATCACAGTTCCTATGGCATCACAGGTAATTATTAAACTTGTTCTTAACTTAGTATTGTTAAATTAATTATGAAATACATTGTGCAATAATGATAGATTTATAAATGTATTATATCAGTGTAAATGTGTATTTTATTTTTTATCATGAGAATGTATTTTGTTAGTTTACTTTCAGAAAATTAATAGTTATTAAAATAATCTTTTGTTTTCGACTTTTCAATATGCTCGAGCCCTCTTTGTACAGTTATCACGTCTCTCTAGGAGGAAAAGAAAGTAAAAATTTCAAAAGTTGTCATTATAAAAATATAATAAACAAAATGCAAATCTTTGAAAAAACACTAATTCCTTCTTAGAACTACAGTTTTTATCAAGCAAAACAGTAAAAAAAAAGTAGTCTGCAAGATAATGAAAGGGAAAATCAATACTTTTTATTTGTGTTTGAGATTCTTCTTTCTCTAAATTACTTGATAATTACCTTTAAGAGAATAAAAAAAAACAAGAGTGAAATAAAAAATTGTGTTGTTTAACGAATAGTGATTTCTAAAAAATATATAAACTTTTGTTATTACTTCGAATGAAGTAGGAAAAAAGTATTCTGTTCATTTAACTACTATACTGTTTTGATTTGTGGCGAAGATTTTTTTTTTTTTTGAATCACAACTGATAAATATTTTTTTTAAAGAGAAATGAATTAATAAAAAATATAACTAATATTTTAAATATTTATTGAAGTATTTTTGTTTTAATAATACCTTTTTCTGGAAAATGTTCACAAATTTGGTTTCAATATTTAATGTAAGTTCAAGTATTTTTCATAAAAAACTAAACTTAAGTAAACATATAGATCATAATTTACATTTTACACACACTCATATCTTTAGGAAAAATATCTCTAACTAAATAAATAAGAGCTCAAATATTCTCATTTTTGTGTTGTTCAATATTTCTGTGTAGAAGATTGAAATATAGTTGGAGACTCCATTAGTAAAAAATATGTTGTGATTTTCATATAGAAACAAGTATCCATTGTTTTAATGCTTCTAGAAATAACCTGTGGTAGGATAAATTTTACAATTATTACTACTTGCAGACTTATGGAGATGCTGAAATTGTATTTTTTTTATTTGATAAGATTTGTAGATGGAGTGATATTGATTAAATTCTATGCATAAAGAAGTTGATGATCCACTTATAAAACGTTTGATAAGGATAATTTCAATCTAATATAGAAATTAATTGATACATTTATCTTAAGCAGTACAATTAATTAAAATTATTGAATGATACAAATTCACACATGATTGAAATGCATTTACAATTGTTTTTTCGTGTTTCTTCAAATAATAATAGACTGAGCATTTACACATTAAATCTTTATAAATGTTTAACGCTTACATAATATTAATTTTGCTTAGAGGCATATACTCATATTGAATTTTAAAAATATTTGAATTACAGTTTCAATTTTAGAATATCGGTTTCTAGATAAATACTTATATTCCATATTCTGTCTTTTACATTCAAAACATATCCTGCTTTGTATTTACCGATTTATTCTTTTTCAAAACATGTTCTAACTGTATTATAATGAATGCATACATACACACAACAACACAACACACATATATATATATATATATATATATATATATATATATATGTTTTTGTGTATGTTGCATTCATTATATTATATATTATTCATTTATATTATTATATATATATATATATATATATATATATATATATGCTGTTAAAAGAATCTCTTTAAGAATAATTTTCCCAAGACCTTATTTTTCGCCAAAGCCTCTCTTTTCTCCGAATCCTCTTTTTTCTCAAAATCCTCTTTTTTCTCCAAATCCTCTTTTTTTACCAAATCCTCTCTTCTCACCAAAACCTCTTTTTTCACCAAATCCTCTCTTTTCACCGAATCCTCTCTTTTCACCGAATCCTCTCTTTTCACCAAAACCTCTCTTTTCTCCGAATCCACGCTTTTCGCCAAATCCTCGTTTTTCACCAAATCCTCTCTTCTCCCCAAATCCTCGTTTACCACTATGCTGGTAATTCAGATGCGTAATATCTTCTGTTATATCATCGTCTTCTTCAGAAATCTGATTCAAATGTAGAGTTTCATCTTGGTGGCTAGGATCGTTTATGATATGCATCAGAGAAGGATGCATTCTTTCGATAAGTTCTGAAACAACGTCATTTTCTGACCAGCAACATGCCGAGTTCACCTTCAGGAGTATTATTACCGCAAGGATAATTTCTCTGAAAATTTTCATTCTACAAAAAATAAAAAAAATGAATAAATATTTTAGAAATGCAAAACAAGAATAGAAATTAATTGCTTAAAAAATATATTTATAACGTATCAGTCAATTCCTACTACTAGTTCACTCTCTCTCCCTATATATATATATATATTACAAAAATATACAAAAAATAGTTATATATCTAAGATAACTATAGTCATGATAGAATAGAATTAGCCACATAAATACTAGAGGCAAACTATATATGTATATATATATATATAGGATATACAAATTGAGCTCAGACACTATCACATGCATGAATTTAAAAATGTTGAATTGTCAATTATTAAAATTGTACCAAAAATTCTAAACACAGATTATGGTGGGAAAATCACTTTATCAGAAGTTTTAATTCAATATATCCATATGGTCTTAATGTTATATACTTTGCTAAAAGCACATTCCAAATTATGTTACAGAGTAATAAAGAGGAATTTTTTTATACTGCTAACAATTCAGATAAGAATTCTAAAAGAAACTCCATAAGCAAAAGAACTAAAAGGAAAAACAGAGATAAGAAAACTTTAATTGATAATATTAAAGTTATTGTAGATGATTTTGAAATAAATTTTAATATCTCAAGCTGATAAAGTATTTCATGTTTGGTCTTAATAAAAAGGAAATTGTAATGTTGGATGGAATCTTAAATAATGGGCGCTTTAAGGTGTGTCATGCAGTTCACATCATTAAAGACATTAATAATTTTTAGTTAATAAATTCAATATATATAAATATTGATAAATTTAATGAACCTACTACAGAATACTGCACTTTATTATTCATGAATAATACATTTGATAAAGTTAATTTTTCTAGTGTAATTAATAGACATTTGTCACTTTTTCCTGTTAGGAATGTAATTGTTAAAAAAGCTTTTAAATATAATAAAACGATGGGCAGATTTATCTTTAATTACAATAATAGCTCACCTTCTCCTGACATAGAAGAGTGTAAATGTAAGAACAATCATGAATTTATTGATAGTTATCACAAATATGTAGTAACAGGCAATTTAAATATAATCAAGGACAGAATTTTAAAAGACATCATGAGTAAAGGCACTAGTTTTAGATTATCAATTTCTAACAACAATAATACCGTTAAAAAACAAATTAATAATGATATATATATAAATAATTTTATTACTAAATCTGCAGTTAAATATGGTTTGCCTTTGGAGGCATTTGATGAATTTAAGTACAATATTTTAAAAGACCTGATGAAATTTAACTATCATTCTAATCAGTACTTACTTATAAAGATGTAAAAAAGAAGATATATGATTTACAAAAGAATTTTATCATTGTTTACATAGACAAAGTGCCAACCTATCTATATCAATATAAAGAAATATTATTTTCAATTATATTTATCGTAATAATGTATTAGTTAGTGATAAATTTAATACATATTTAAATCTTAATAACTTTATTAAACACTGTATGGAACACGGATACCCTTCTAAATTTATAAAAAGTTGCCTAACAGTTAAATAAAAACAAGTTATTAATTGTACAGTTTATAGATAGATGGCGCCTCTAGAAAAGTAAATTAACAATATTACATTTTCTTAAAAATTAATTGTATACGTCTGGGCGATACTTTTATTTTCCATAAATTTTAAAATAAAATTTAAAGTTTTTAAATGCGTAATTATAGTATTAAAGTTATTTTATCAAAACTTAATAACTTTATGCGATACTGTTATCGTTCATAGCCTGGGATTATGTGTTGTGTACTCACGTGGTAAGTCTTTATATAATAGTTTTAACTTTGATTTAAAAAATATTTTAGTAATTATTACAAACTATAATATTATCGTTTTACATTAATAGATTATGGTTTTATTTAAAATAATAGTTAAACTCTTCTCTAGAAATTTCTTGCTTTCCCTATGGTCCAGAGTATTGGCAAATTCAGGTGAAGGTTGGCTGGCCGAAAAACATTGTTTAATCATGCATTCCTGGTTTCTAAGGCCAGGAGTTTGCTCTAGTAATTCTGTGGTTAAATCTATTCTATCATGACTATAGTTATCTTAGGTATATAATTTTTTGTATAATTTTTGTAATATATATATATATATATGGTTCAATTTTTCAATCATTAATAAAATATACTTTCCATTCATCCTTTCAATTTCAAATGCATTTTTTTAAACTTGTAGAGGAGGAGACTTGATGTTATGACATTTTTTTTCGAATATGAAAAAATTATTTTAATCAAAAAATGAGGTAATAGTAACAAAAAATAATAGCCCAACAGCTTATATAGATAAGAAACTCGTTCGTTGTATCCCTGTAGTGCAATGAATAGCGCGTTGGACTTCTAATCCAAAGGTCGTGGGTCCATATCCCACCTGGAATAACATAATTTCTGCGAATGTTATTTCTCTTTTACTATATAGTCTTTTATTAGAGAATAATTTAATTTAATTAATGAATAAATATTAACGAACAAAAAGAATGGTTCAACACCATATATAGAAAGGAAAACAGAAAATCGCTTTCTATTTTGCCCCTTAATATTGTGATTCTGTCATATGTATGTACATATTTATATTAATTGTAACTATTTAAAAAAAAGTAACTAAAATAAAAAATTTCTTTGTTGACCAAGTAAGAATTAGCATATTTTTTTATATTACTTGTTCTTAATACAGCTCAGAACCTTTTAAGAGCATCTGACACTTTTATATTTTACAAGAATTTTCATATCCAAGGTTCTTTATCATTGATCGCATTTTATTTTTGAAAGCTATTTTCTGTTTTGCATTAACATTTCTTTTTCAGTTCATATCTACATTACACGTATCATTACATTTACATTGGCATTTTATTACTGATATGTTAAGATAAATAATACATTGTTGAAAGTTTTATATTAAAACTTCTTTTGTGTATATTACTATAATATATATGCAATTATATAAATAAGTAGAATCTACTAAATATTCAAAATGGCAAAAAGATTATATTTTTAAAAGATAATAATAAAATGAATGGTATTGAATAAAACTGAATTATAAAAAGTGTTTATTGCGTTTTTTATACAAATGTTGATTATACTTTATGGTTCAGTGCTCAAAATTGCTAATAAATTAGAAATATTTTCTAGAAACAGAAAAACTAGAGAATATAAGAGAATGATTCAAAATGAACTTAGCAACCTTCTTACTCAAAAAGAATTGACTAATTTGAATAAATTAGAAATTGTTATTAGTAAAAAAAAATTTTTTTTTTTTAAACTGAAGCAAAGAAAGTAATACTTATTTGTTTTTCTTCCGAAAAGAATGATGCAAGTAGTTGGACACCGTTCTGTTATTTTATATTTATTAATGTCAGCCAAAGTTTGATAAAAAAAATACATAATACAAGTGTATAAAAGAGAAATAAAATAGCTATTACTTTAATATAACTTTGCAATTGTAATTGAAATCTATTCTCAAGGGCAGTCTCAAATAGCAGTCTCAATTTGGAATAAATTTTTGAGAAAAATATAAGTTACTAAGAAATTTCTAGAACATCATATCTATAAGCCTTTATAAAAGAGGTTTTAAAGCATAATCTAATAAAATAGAAAAGGTCAATTTTAAAAAATAAATTGGAAAATAAGAAAGGAATTTTGTTTTATAGATAGAATTGAATTATTTTTCATAAAAATGTTTATATTGCAGATATTTCTGTAGTTGAAGCTCTTAAAATCCTCTGCATTTTGATTAAAGGGGAGCAGTCTACAGAGAAATACTTTAGTGAATCAATTACCTGTACTTCGCTTTGTATTTTAGAAATAAATAGAAAAAAAAGAAAAATTTGATGAATAAGAAATTTCAGATGCGTAGAATGACTAGCTAGTTTCAATTATATCTCAAACATTTTCACGTGCATATTTTTGGTGTTAGTTCAATCCATTGTAGTGTATCTAATGGGAAACTAATAAGAAATAATAGCTATCCAAAAATTTAATTCAACAAACCAACATATCCACTCATTTAAAAGCAATATTATATCTTAATTATATATCCAAAGTGCTTTTGGAAAAAAATTATTTATAGAAAATAATTTAAAATATTTGATAAGATTTAATTGATCATTCCCTCATTTGAATGTAACTATTAATCTCCTAAATACTTTCTTCTAAAGTTTGATATTTTGGTAAAATTAACTATTTTTGCAAAATAAAACATTTGTCTTTTCTAAATTAACTTTCAGAAATGCCCGATAAAAACCATTTTATAAAAATTTATGCTACAATATGGTCTAAGTATTTGGGATAAAATTTTGTTTTAGATGAAATAATATTTTAACTTTTTGTTTCTATATATTCCTTTTCCATAATTATACTCTTTACTCTAGATACATAAAAATACATATACTAATTAAATTAATATAATTATATCATTTAATAAATTAACATATGCCTGTGATAGAATAAAATATTTCAAATGGCGCTTCCAAACATTTAAACATTTAATGTAACCATAGAAAATTTTATTTTTGACCTAAGATATTCAAAATAAATTTAAAAAAATGTAAAATAAATAATAAATGTACAAATTGTGTATTTCTTTCAATAGCTCATAAAACATTTAATAGCATACACATAAAATATTTAAAGATAAACTATTTATCTAAATTAATAGTTGAGTATTGTACACCTTTATATATATATATATATATATATATTATTCATTATTTTTCAAAAACATCTCTTACTTTTTAATTGATTTCATCCCCAACAAAATTTCAGAAAGAAACAATGTGAGGTAACTAAAAAATTAATGTAAAAATTATTTTATCAAAACCGGTAAAAGATTCTGAATAAATTAGAAAATATAAACTGTAGAAGAAGCTACGTAAATCATATACGAAATAAGCGACTTAATTTGCTTCATTTCGGGTGAAATTCCTTTACGGCTAAATAAAACATTGATAACGAGTTTTTCCTTCGTTAAAAATGCTTATATTTTTTATTTTACTTAAAAAGAAATCGTGTTTTTTAAATATGAATAAATAGACGTATTTTTGTTAAACAAATAAAAGGATTTAAGAATTCTAAGTAAAAAAAGGGAGGGGTAGGTAACTTCGAAGCAGACTAAACAAACATAAAAGAACTTTAAAAAGCATTAACTGGTTTAATTTTTTTACAAAAGTATATGAATATAAATGCTTCTAATTCCACAAGATACCTTTTTAAGCATTTCTTTTAAAGAAAACTTATTTATGTGGAACTTTTTTTAAAATTAGTAACGCATTCAAACAAAACTAATATTTGTAATAAAAAAAATATTGGTTGAAAATAGACAGGAGGAGAGAAAGTTATTCTTTTAGATTTTGAGGATTTTAATAAAGTACGAAGGCATAAAAAAATATATTTCAATATAATCCTAATTTTTTTTCATTTCGTTGAAAGTAAAGAGAAAAAAACTGCTTAAGTTCTTATAATTAAGGTAAGTAAAAAATAGGAATAATGCACGGCTTTATTTATCATATTCCTTTATTAAAAAAAAACTAACTTTTATGTTTTTTTTCTACATATACTTCTAATTTTTGCCATTATATTTACTGATTTCATTTTGAATACTAATAATTGCGTTTCGTTTTGTAATGAGGGTTTTCTTTCTTTCTTTTTTTTGGGGGGGGGGGTTAACTCGAAAAATATTGGACAGATAATAACAAAAACAAACATAAAATTAATAGAAATTTAAGATTTGTTATATACATACATTGAAATTTGGCAGACATGTTTCTTTTGTTGAGTAGAGATCCACTAAGGACGAGTGGTATAAATTAATTTCCAAGGGGGTTGGAGAGGCGTTAAAAAGATGAAAAAAAAATCCCGTTTTCGAACCCTTAGACCCCTACGTTGAAATTTGGCAGACATGTTTCTTTTGTTAAGTAGAGATCCACTGAGAACGTGTTGTGAGAAAATAAACAAACTCCCAAAAAGGGAATATACAGAAAAAATTCCTATTTTTCAGCATTTTGACCTGTAGACTAAAAATTTAGTGTGAGTAGCTGAGTAGAGACCACTAAGAACGAGTTTTGGGGAATTAGATCCCAAGAAGGAATTTTGTAGGGTACCGGAGCGTTATACAGTTTTCACTATTTTCTGTTTTAGGGCTACAAACTCATAATTTGGTAAGCCGGGTTTTTTTTTTCTTGTTGACTAAAGATCCGCTAGAAATGGTTTTTGTGGAAATCAACTTCCAAGGAAGAGGATTGTGGTTGCGCTAAATATAAATATCGTACTTCAATCTTAAAAATTATTGTGTTTTTTTTTAATTCAAAAAGAGAGGGCTATAAAAATTTCTTTTCAATACGATCACAATTTAAATGCCATGACTTAGATAATATTAAAAAAACAATATATAGTCAAACAAATTATGTAACACCCATTGAAGTGAGGGGGTGACAGTTAGTGTATAAATATGTATGTGTGTGTTCATGAGTGCATCTTTTACCCAAATAACGTCAGTTTTTTTTTATGTAAAAAAATTTTAATAATTTTAATAAAGGATTAAATAACAACATTTTATAACATTTAAAGCGAATTCGTTTATTATTAATGCTTACGTTCAATCATAAAGCGAGTGAAACTAAATTATCGCAAGATAACTAAACTAAATTAATTAAAGTTATTATTTTACGTTTTTTTTAAAAAAATGGATAGCTAAAAATAACAATAATATAAAAATTAATCTCTATGTACTGTTTTTTCGAATTGTATGAACTGTGATCTGGTTTGATAAAAAAATTAATCTTTCGCAACGTTAAGCCTATTTTATTCTTGCACCCTCTTGTGGTGGGGTACAGCTCTCGACTGATAGTACTTTTTTCACATTTAAATAACAGATGGCGCTACAATGCGCTGTTGCTAGATGACGTAACATGTATATAGCATGTTCTCCATTAAATTTCTAACAAATATAATTCAGAATTCCTTTTTCTTGAATAAAATTAAACTAAGCATATCAAGCATTTTTATATGTATTTTGTAAAAGCACATCAAAACAATATTAAAAAAAAAACGCTGATCATTTTTTCAAAACAGCAGTTTCCATTGGAAATGACCTGAATGTTTTAATGTTTTACTTCTTAAAATGTATGCCATAAGAGCAAGTTCTTGATAATTGGAACACATACTGAAATAATTGTAATTCTATGTATGATATTAAACATTTTCTTCAATACGATGAACAATAAATCACAAGCCATACGAACTTTATATTTCTTGACAATGTAAATTTCTTGCAAAATTTAAATCCATTTAATTTCTCCAAAACAGGCCTAATGTCCTTTAGTGGTGTTGGAAATTCACCAAATTAGACTTTTTTTTTATTTTCCCTTTATCGTGGGTTTTTTCCT